ACTTTTTACTTTACTTTTTACTTTACTTTTTACTTTACTTTTTACTTTACTTTTTACTTTACTTTTTACTTTACTTTTTACTTTACTTTTTACTTTACTTTTTACTTTACTTTTTACTTTACTTTTTACTTTACTTTTTACTTTACTTTTTACTTTACTTTTTACTTTACTTTTTACTTTACTTTTTACTTTACTTTTTACTTTACTTTTTACTTTACTTTTTACTTTACTTTTTACTTTACTTTTTACTTTACTTTTTACTTTACTTTTTACTTTACTTTTTACTTTACTTTTTACTTTACTTTTTACTTTACTTTTTACTTTACTTTTTACTTTACTTTTTACTTTACTTTTTACTTTACTTTACTTTTTACTTTACTTTACTTTTTACTTTACTTTACTTTTTACTTTACTTTACTTTTTACTTTACTTTACTTTTTACTTTACTTTACTTTTTACTTTACTTTACTTTTTACTTTACTTTACTTTTTACTTTACTTTACTTTTTACTTTACTTTACTTTTTACTTTACTTTACTTTTTACTTTACTTTACTTTTTACTTTACTTTACTTTTTACTTTACTTTACTTTTTACTTTACTTTACTTTTTACTTTACTTTACTACACTTTACTTTATACTTTACTTTTTACTTTACTTTTTACTTTACTTTTTACTTTACTTTTTACTTTACTTTTTACTTTACTTTTTACTTTACTTTTTACTTTACTTTTTACTTTACTTTTTACTTTACTTTACTTTTTACTTTACTTTACTTTTTACTTTACTTTTTACTTTACTTTACTTTTTACTTTACTTTACTTTTTACTTTACTTTACTTTTTACTTTACTTTACTTTTTACTTTACTTTACTTTTTACTTTACTTTACTTTTTACTTTAATTGTATTTTATTTTATGATAGTGTCAGGCAAAAGGATTACAGTAAAATGCAGGCTGGTAGCTGCTGATGTGAACCTGCCTGATTCCCGCCTTTCCATTTCAGAGATACCCTGGTATTTTCCTGCACGGGATAATTTAGAATATACTTTGGCTAACGTGACTTCAGAGGAAAAACAACCCATAAAAGCAACGATATGTTGACTGCAAGTTGGAAAATAATCTTACTCTTGAGTCTTTGCAAGAGCAAGAAGCAGCAGGCAGCTTAGGAAGTCATGGAACACGGGTGATATCCAGGGCAGCCCTTTCCTGAGCCATAAATAGAAATCAGATGATAGTGTGTGATCCTGAAATTAATGACTGCATCCTAACAGCAAAGTGATATTCAAGGCTGCCCAGGTGACTGTAACTGGAACACTTCCTAATCTTTGTACAGCAGTGTGTTTGATAACTGTGAATATAATGCTTTATATTATAAATTATAATGCTTATAACCTTTCTAGATTTTTGCTTGTAGGCTTTTGTCACATACTGTACCTTTAGACTCGCATCAGAGAAGGTGTTTTAATGTAACCAGAAGACAAACTTCCCGTGGAACAGGAAACTAAGACCCATTTGATACGAGGGAATTTTTGTTAAAAGAACTGTATTTTACAGTTTCTTTCAGTATCTCTTCTTCAAAATACGGGAGGCACAGGGATGTGGACAAAAGCAGACTGAGGAGGACAGTGAGATGAATGGTTTGGTTAGAGCAGCTGGTTTGGGTCGATGTATTCTGTGCGTTGAAGATGCTCAATGCACAACAGTTATATTTTCTTTTTCAAAATTAGAGTTGATTTTATTTGCCTGATGTTGGCTGTTTTGCCATTGCAATTGAAGGCAAATGAACATTATTGTCAGCTTTAAAGGTGCCCGACATCTTTTACAGAAGCATAATAAAGATGCTGACGTGATATCAGGCTGCTCTGAGCTGCCACTAGATTCATCAACACCTGGAATATTGCATGAAAAAATGCAACCCAAGTATTTGGTTCCTGAACAGAGTGATGATTGCTGCTTCAGTGCTGAAAGTGAAGAGTTCCCCTGTGGCTGTACTCATCCTAGCTACTCATGGTTGCAAATTAATAGTACTTGCAGATGTGAGGGAATCCCTTCTGAGGTCACACCAAGTGCTGAGCAGGCTTTTGAGAAGTGTGTCCCTGTGTATTGGGGATATGTGCACTCTTTGGTATTGCTCACTGTATTCTTTGGCTTCTTCCCAAAGTCTTTGAATTCCACTTTAATTGCATATTTCAGAGGACCAGTTAGAAATGTCTCCTTGTAAGAACTTCCCAGATGCTGCTGGCTCTGACAGGAGGGTTTCAAAACAGGACCTGTTTTCTTAATCCTTGTACTTGGAGGGACAAACCACAGGGTGTTTATTCAGTTACACTGCTTTACTTGAGTGACTACGTACTTAAATCTGGGGTTATTTTAATGTTTTTAAGTTAACTACTTGTTAATAAATAAATAATAAACCACCATAAATAATAAACCACCATAAATAATGAGTGGTTTAGGTTAAAAAAAACAACCAACAAAACAGGCACAACTTTGAAAGGTTGCTAGAGCTTTCATGTTTCTGAACTTTGCTTTGATCAAGTCATATGAACTTTGTTTTTATGAGCTGCCCCCTCCCCCCAAAAAAACAACTTTGCATTGACTTTGGCTAAAGATGAGATATTCATCCAAGTGGGAGTTTATGTGTGATGTCCCTCTAATGAGGGACCACTTACCGTGCCAGCCTTCAGGTACTTCTGGAGTCACTGGAGGATGAGGCTGGCACAGGACCTCTGCTCAGCCAAGATATTGGGTCTAATTTCCTGTGAGACTTGTATTAAACCTCCAGATATGTTGTGACTTGGCAACTGGATTTACGTGCCTGTTAATTAAGATGTAATTGATGCTGAGATGGATGGCTACGCAACGTGCAGGGCAAGTGGAAATCCAGCCTGAGGCAGCCAGTGCAGTTATCTTGGTCAATCAATAAATGCTGTTTGTGTTCCCCTTGACCCAGTGCTGTTGGTCTCATGTTCTCCCACTCCCTCTGAGGCTGCAGGCTGTGGATGAAGCTTACAGCTCTGGAGGGTCAGGGAATTTGGGATTTAATTCCCAGCTTTGTGCTGAATAAGGTACATAAGCCCAGTTCTGCAAAAGCATGAGCTCCTCAGCACCTTCAGCTCCAGAGCAGGTCCTGCACAGGACCGTGTTGGACATGGCAGAGAGGAGCCCTCTTCTGGGATGAGACCATAATGCCCCATTTTTCTGCCTGTGGAGAACTATGGAAAGTGTTGTAACAGAAAGGTCTGCGGCTTCAGCTCCTTGTCTGAGAAAAGAAACCACATTTTGAATCATCTCTCGTTCTCCCTCCCTTTCCTAGTTGCCCTAACTTTTTGTTTTCTTGTCTGTTGAGCAATGGGTTACTGGGTTTCCAGAGAATTCTTATCATATGATTCCATTTCTCAACAGCAATGATCAACCCAGAGCTCACCACTCCGTATGGACAGGTGGATTTTGATTTCTCCCACTTCCCATTTGTTTACTCTCTACTGCATTATTGCCTTGCTGCTGGGCACTGCTCAAAGTGAACTAGGAGAAATTCCTCTGCTCCCTGTAGAAAATGTAGCTAGCAAAGGTGGACTGAAGGTACACAGGGGTTTTCAAGGATTTCCACCAAATGGAAAATGTCAGTATAAAGATGAGAGAGGTATAAAATAAGGGCGGGATGGCTCTGCTCTGATAGCAAGTTACAAACTATGTGCAACACCAAGACCTTCAAGATATAGGAGTAAAGATTTATGTCATGCAACCAGCAATAATTTGCCTCTTAAATCTCAAACTTCAAAGCGCCGCTCTCTTGAGCATCATGTGAAATAATACCTTATTTATAATATTATTCTAATATTCTAATTTATAACATTATTGTTATTTGCCTTATTCTGCATTAAGTTCAGTGGACTCTGCATAAGCCTGTCAAAGAGTGTAAAAGAACTCTGAAAGAAGAAAGAAAAGAAAAGTCAGCTCAAAGATATTGTGCTGCAATTGTGCAGGGACATCGTGTGACTGCAGTTCAGAACTGAGGGAGTAATTCTGTAGCAAAGAGATTTGTCCCCTGCTTTGTGCCTGCAAAGAAATGTCTAGAGCTATTAATTGTTTTAGAGACCATATGGTAACTATCAAAAGAGTTTTAAATTTCTAGATTAGCTTTAAACCCTGCAGAACAATTGCAGTAAAGCCAAAAGTCAAGAAAACAGGTATGAAAACTGAGTTTTGCATACAAGTGTCTTTTGCCAAATATACTATTTTAGATTAATTCTTCCCATTTCAACATGACCTTTGTGTTTCATCATTATCTACAAACAGAACTAACTTTCCATAGACAACCAGTTTGGAAACCATACGTCATGAAAACACCATCAAAGCAAATTAACTGACTTTACGGAGCCTGGAGTTAAAAACAAAAGACAACTCTCAGAACAAGGTCTTTGGGCTTTTTGTCAGGTGAAAGAAATACATGTCAGACTCCACGAAAATGAAATCAAAACTGCATGTGGTTGGTCAACAATATACATTCACTGAGAGCAGGAATTTGTAACTGGCAGGTGACGTCCATTTTTTGTTGGACTTGTCCGAAAATCCTCATTAATTCAAATAATTCATCCTGCCTCCATTGAGGTAATTTGATTTCAGCCTGTGGAAAACAACTGCCAAAACCTGGATGTATTAAATCATTACTAGAAATTTTTTAAAAAATAATAAATTATTATTATTATTAATAAATTATTATTATTATCCAATTTCACTGGAACAGGTTGCCCAATGAAGTTGTGGATGCCCCCTCCCTGGAAGTGTTGAAGGCCAGGTTGGATGAAGCTTTGAGCAACCTGGTCTAGTGGAAGGTGTCCCTGCTGCTGGCAGGGGGGTTGGAACTGGATGAGCTTTAAGGTCCCTTCCAACCCAAACCATTCTATGATTCTATGAAATTAAATAGCACTAAACTTCCAGAAACTATGTAATTGCATCTCATTGGCAAAAAATGTATAATTTAGAGGAAAAAGGACATACCTTAGACAGCGGTTTCTTCTGAGCACAGTTTATACCCCCAATAAAGACCATATTGGGCATCACTGGTCTGACGTACTCAAAGACAAAGTCAAATCTCAGAAGCCAAATGGAAGCAGAGTCCATGAGGTCTAGCAGGGATACATCTCTCTGAAGAACTTCAGAGGAGAACTTTATTGCATCTTCATAGAAACTGTTACAGTACACGAGCTCCAGGAGGGTAACCAGTGCGTTCTCCACTCTCTGGAAGAAAGTCATGCGGTCTGAGTTGAAGGTAAATAGTCTTGGGATGTAGGACAGAGGGCTTGGGCACTGTGGTGCTTTATAGTGTAAGTTGCAAGGAAATCCTCTCATGAAGAACACAAACGGGAGAGAAAAATATTGAGAAAGCGTTGCTCCGCACATGAAGACGGGGTCTGTTAGGACAGCGTCGAACCTGCTTTGATTCAAGGACTCCAGGAGCTCCTTGCTTCTGAACAGGTCCTTGCACTGAGAAAAGAACGTACGGAAAACGTGCACCGAGCTGTTGTACAGAGCGAGGGTGTTGAGTGGGAAAGGCAGGTCCTTCAGGTGAGTGGCCACGTATTCTTGAAAAGCGTTATCCAGCTCTTCTAGGGTGTAAGTCACCGGGTACGTTTTCACTGTGTACGCCTGGGTGGTTTCCATCTGCCAGCTTACTTCTGGCATAACCACCACCACTTCGTGTCCTCTGTCGGCGAGCTTTTCCACTACTTGCTGCATGCTAAGCCAGTGGCTTCCAACCATGGGCACCACCAGGAGTTTCCCTCCATCTGAGAGGCCAGGCAGGAGGAGGAGAAAAATCCAGGCACAGCAAAGCCACAAAGTCATGTTCCCGTGGTCAGGGTATGGACTGTGAAAGTCGTCTCCTTCAGGCTGTAGCTGAAGATGCTTCTGAAGGAACCAGGGAGTTTATTTGTTGTGCTGCTTTGTCATAATCTCCAAGTTAATGATTGACTGATTTGGGTTGGTTTGTTTGGTCTTTTTTTTTCCCCGTTATTACTTATAAAGCCAAATATAGTGACCTTTTCCTGTGCTGAGTCATTGGAGTTTCTCAGTGTTCAGCTCCTCAACATGCTAGTCTGCTGCTAGTCAGATTTCATATGACTTCTCTCACGATCATTGATGTGTCCTGTTTTACCTCTTGTCCAGGGAAGGCAAGTCTGATGCTAACACCACCACCACCACAGTAACAAATGAAAACAAACTCAACAAATTTCGTTGTGGCTGGAGACACGGATGTTCAGATAATATCACAGAATGGTGGGGTTGGAAGGGACCTCAGGAGATCACCCAGTCCAACCCCCCT